CGCGGGGTCCGACGGGGGGCGGGGGGTCCCCGGGGCCGGACTCGGGCGGCCCGGCGTGCGCGGGGGTGAGTGTGCACGGGGGGCGAGCGCGCGAGGGGGTCCGGGTGCATGGGGAACTCAAGAAGGGAGCGCGCGAGGCAGTGATTGTGCACAGAGAGCTCAAGGGTGCATGGAGGGCTCAGGGCCAAATGTGCAAAGGGTGCACGGGGAACTTGTGAGCAAATGTGCATGGGGAGTTCATGGAGTGAGTGTGCATGGTGGCGAGTGTGCAAGGAGAGCCTGGGGGTGAGTGTGCAAGAGGGTCCGGGTGCATGGGGAACGCATGAAGGGAGTGTGTGAGGCAGTGATTGTGCACAGGGAGCCCAAGGGGTGAGTGTGCATGGAGAGCTTGGTGGGGTGTGCAGTGGGATGGGTGTGCATGGAGAATGCAGGGGCGAGTGTGCAAGTGGGTCAGGGTGCATGGGGTGCGTGCAAGGGAGCCCAAGGGGGGAGTGTGCATGGGAGTGCGTGCAAGGGCTGAGTGTGCGTGGAGAGCTCGGGCAGGCAGGTGGGTAAAGGGTGCACGGGGAACTGGTGGGCAAATGTGCATGGGGGTTCGTGGAGTGAGTGTGCATGCTGGCGAATGTGCAAGGGGGTAAGTGCATGGGGAGCTCACGGGGTGAGCGTACAAGGCACTGTGTGCATGGACAGCTCGGGTGAGTGTGCATTGACAGCTCAGGGGAGGAAGTGTGTAAGGTAGTGAGTGTGCATGGAGAGCACGGGGGCAAGTGTGCTGAGGGTGAGTGTAGGAGAGGGGAGGAAGAGGGGAGGCAACAGAGGATGAGGTCCGTGCAAGGAGTGTGCAAAGGGGCAGGACTGTACAGGGGATCTGTAGTGTGCAAGCCGTCTGGGAAGCGGGGTGTGTCGGGGAGCGTGCAAGCAGGGCGGGTGCCACAGCGCACTCGAGGCGAGAGGGGAGCAGGGGAGTGGACGGGGTGAGTCCAGGACAGCTGGCGGGTGGTGCCGGGCGTGCAAGGGGCTCAAGGAGTGAGTCGGAGCCCCGGGCGTGCGGAGGTGTTCGAGCACTGGTGTGGGGCACGCGCGTGCCGGAACGGGGAGCGGTTGGGGATCGCCGGGCAGGACTTGCGAGGGCCCCGTGGAGAGCACGTGTCCATGCGGGACACGCGTGTGCAAGGGATGCAGGCGGTCCTGACGCTGTTTCTTGCCTCCCCCTTCCCCTGCTGTCCGCTCCTCCCAGGCCTCGTCAGCGAACGCGTGCCAATTGCTAGCAGCGCCGCGCTGGGAGCGGGGCCTTCATGTGTGTGACACGCCAGCACAGCCACGTCGACACGCCTCACAGGTGAGGGCACGGTGCAGGTGCGCGGGTGCGCAGCGGCACGTCCGACGCAGCCGGGCGGGGCTCTCGCGGGCGCTTTCCAGACCGCGGAGAGTGCTAGAAACAGGGCGGCACCTGGGCAGCCACGAGCCAAACTGGCGCGGGCAGGGGCCTGAAGCTCTTGGGGCTCTGCCTGCCCTTGGTGATCGGCAGGGGCGAGGGTCCCCAGAAATGTCCGAGCCAGCGGCTCTCACGGGGGAAGACAGAGGGGAGATCTTAGGGCCACAAGGGTTATTTGCCTGCCTTCGCGTGAGGCAGGACTGCGACATCGTCCTCGTCGTCGCGGTTCGTGCTAGGGACGCGCTGGTACGTTTAGAAGTGGGGCCTGTACATTTAAGGGACGCTGACAGCTTCTAAAATTTCCTTTGGGAAAGTCGGGCCAGAGAGGAGCGAGCTAGAGAGGCTTGGTCCTCAGAGAAGCCATCTGCTGTGCTGTTTTTCAGCACCGGGTGCAGAACGGCTGTACCCCTCCGCGTGGCCATGGCAGAATCCGACGTGTGCATCGGGGACCAGCTCATCCTGGAAGAAGAGTATGATGAAACCTACCTACCCAGTGAGAAAGGTAAGTGACACCTGGCTCCCTTCCCAAGCAAAAAGAAAGGGAGCGGAGAAGCTGAGCTGCTCTTCTGTATCACTGGAGGATGGACTACGAGTCCGGGGAGGGCAGCACAAACGCCATTCGAGGGACTGGAGAAACGTGCCTGTTAGATGCTTCCTGCTGTCGTTGGTGCATAAAAAGCTGCTGTTCTGCTGGAGCTCCTTAGCTGCTAGAAAACCCGAGTGCAATAGCAAAAAACGTAGTGGCTGATGCCAGCTCGGGCACACTGGTTGGCATTCCCTGAAACACGGCGCCCAGTTTGCTTGTGGGTCTGCGCTTGCATTTCATAGATTCATAGATTCATAGATGTTAGGGTCGGAAGGGACCTCAATAGATCATCGAGT